CGCCCACGACCGGCAGACACGAATGCAACTCCAGATTATTGGGCTTTTAACCTGCTATATTTTTATTTTTATTTTTTGCTAATTGAAACAATTAAAAACATGATTAATGTGGATCTTCTCTTCTGGATAATTAAAACAAAACGGCTAGGAGAATTAAAAATTAAAACGGCTATGTTTAGGAGAATTAAAAAGGAAGCAAATTTTTCAGAAGAATTAAAACGGTAATTAAAAACGGCTATTACGTTTTCGCTTCTATAAAAAATCATATCTGCGAGGGCTAAAAACACATACTGAAAACTGAGCTTCACTTTTCTCATCTCTTCAAAATTCTCTTCTTTCTATTACATTTTGTTAGTTCCCTGAAAGTTGAGAAGAATTCGCAAATCCTTCTTGAAGCTCGTGCCGACGAGAAGGAGGTCGTCTGACCGAGGATCGTTGTATCTCCGAGAACTATTGCCGCGTAGCCCTGTACGAGAGGGGGCAATTAGATTCTTGGGACAGTGCCTTGCACGCCTCGATCATCAGGCCGTATTTCTAACCTTTACTTATTTTCGTTTGAATTATTTCTTATATTTGTGTTATAATATTAACCTACCATTATCTGATAATTATTAACTGTTCAAACTAATTTTCGTTTTTGCCTAAACAACTAATATTTCCAACATATATGGGGATGTAAACTGATATGTTTTTAAACATCTATGTTTACATTTCAATTAGAAATTTTCTCAAATACGATAAAGATCTTTCGTTTAATATATTGTAACCTGAAAATGAATATAGTTTTTCTTTTGAAGTATTTGACTAATCTGTATCTGGATGTATCCGAGTATTAATGTGAACTACTTAATGTATTTGGATACACGTACTTGATTTTTTTTTCTTTTTGGTCAATGAAAAATATTTTATTTTCATTACCCAAATTAGCTTTCTTTTTTTCTAACGGTTAAATGAAAAGTGGGTAGAGAGAATTTAAGCTTTGAGTACATCACAACTCAGAATACAACTGATCGTTACAAGCAGCAGAATAAAAAAGAAAAGATAATTACATTCTCTCTAGCCACTTTTACAATCTTCCTCAAACTTGCTATAGACAATAACAATTAGAATAGTCTGGGGAGATACCCTTGTATAGGTTTTTGAGTTTGTTTCATTTTTTTCATTTTTTTTTTTTTTGTTTTTGTGTGTGAGTGAGTATGGCCTCCAGGTTGTGGAGGGTCATACATATATGTACGTATCAGTATTCTTCTTGATTGCAATTGGTAATAGAAAACCGCTTACTTACCCAAAAAATAATAATAATAACAATTAGAATAGCAACTTTTATATCATGCATAATAGCATTATGATCCCTACTCTTGTGCGCAAATATTATTGAGTTCCTTTCCTTCCATATAGTACATATCACAACAAAGAGAGCTAATCTTTCAAGCTTCTGCTTGAACCCCTTCATCCTTAGACAATTGCAAAACCAAACAATAATGCCTCTCCAACAGCAATATCTCCAGCCAAATTGAATCCAATCCATCACACAGCATTCCAAACACTCATAGATAATAAACATTCAAAGAAGAGGTGCTTGTGGGTTTCTTCAGAACTTTGAGAACAAAGAACACAACAATCTTATGATGAAATACCCTAACGACATAGCCTATCCTGGGTAAGAAGCTTTAATTGCTTTGCCATCCATAATATAAATGCAATTTTGGATAGAGAAACAGATCCCCATACTGCCATTGCACAACAGTAGAACCTGGGGAAAGTTTGCAGTAAACAGATGAGAGTTGAATTTTGTACCTGTCACTACAAGATTGTATCATAGGAAGTAGAGAATCCACACCACCAAAGTGAGCAATAGCGATGTGCCTACATTTTAATAGTTGCTTCCATATCCATGAATCTTCTACTTTAGATTGCACCTCCATATGTATACATGCTTAAATATTATGTACTTGGCTACATATATTTTATTGCACATGTTGTTAATTAGCACATTTCTGAGCATTCGAATCATGTACCCTACTTTAAAGATACTTGTATCCCTTTTTTTTAGTTTCTAGCAATATATTATATCATCATCATGCCGTCAAAGATCTGAATCCAAATTCGTGGATCACAAAAATGAATATAAACATAACTAGAAACACATAATAGTTTGGCGTGTATACATAATAAAAATTTAGAGCAACCACACTCCAAAAAAGTACTAATATCAATTACTAAAAACAATTGAAATGACAAGATGGCAATAATATTCTCAACAGTGAAACTAACATAGACAGGAAATTGCTATCCTCTTGCTAATATATATTTGGAATCAAAAAAGAATATTGAAATGGGGCCAATTCCAAATAGTTCGGACAACTGTTTGATGATCATTTCAGGGTTGGAAGCCAACCCAAACAAATGTTCAGCTTTCCTAAACGGGATTGATGACAGCCTAAAGGATCAGATTTGTGCCTATCTAAACTTCTCTGTAGGGGAGCTACCTATGCGTTACTTAGGGTTACCATTGATTGCAAGGAGACTCTATTACCTGGATTGTTCTTCTCTAATCAGAAAAATTTCTGAACAATTCATTTCCTGGCAGCAAAGAAGACACTTATCATATGCAGGGAGGCTTGAATTGATAAAATCTGTCATTATGGGTATTCAAAGCTTCTAGACTAGTAACTATATCCTTCCCATCAAAGTCCTAGAGAAAGTAGACAAATTATGTTCGGATTTCTTGTGGGGAACTAAAATTCATCTTGTCTCATGGAACACTGTATACAAGAGCAAAAAGAAGGGAGGACTGGGAATTTTTTCAGCTAGGCAATGGAACTATGCAACGACAATTAAAATCTTATGGATGATTCATCATAAAAAAGATCTCCTTTAATTTGGATTAAGTGGTTACATGAGAACTACTTAAAAACTTCGGATATTTGGCAAGTTCAACCAAGGATGAGTAATTCATGGATGTGGAAACAAATTCTCAGAGTAAGGGATTTGATGATAGCCAAATTTGGAAATGTTGCAAATTTTCAGAGCGCTGTTGGTGCATGCTGCACAAGTGGACAAATTCAACTATCTGCAGTTTACAATTCTATTACTGTACAATTGCCTTTGGCTTCCTGGTCTGACACAGTTTGGGGAGGACTTCACTATCCAAAACATTCGGTTGTTCTTTGGTTAGTTTGTCTTTCCAGGTTGTTAACACATGACAGACTCTGCCGCATGGGGATATTGAATCAAAACAAATGTGTCTTGTGTACAAATATAAAACTAGAAACCTGTAATCACTTATTCTTCGAATGTCAGTTTTCAGCTGATGTTTGGAATAGAGTGATGAACTGGTTAGGGTTTTCATGGAGGTCTTGCAACTGGAACATAGTTATTAGTTGGTACTCTCGTAATCTCAAAAGAAGAGGATTCAAGCAACAATTGAAGAGGATGACTCTCTCTATTACAGTCTACATGATTTGGCAAGAGAGAAACATGAGAATATTTCAAAATAAGTTTCGGTCATCTGAATTGTTGTTTAAGACAGTAAAGTTGCTGATATTCTCAAGGATTTTGAACAATGAGGATATTCCTATTCATATCAGAGAGTCACTAGAGATGATATGAAATAGAATTTAGTTTGTATCAGTGTGGTCATCAGTTTTGTAACTGATATTTGATGTTCATTACAAATGTACCTATTGGGAAATAAAATAAAGCACTTTTTCATTGGAAAAAAAAGATTAATTACAACATAATTGTGATGATTAATTAATTTTCTATTGCCTTGCATTCTTCCTCTTGTGTGCATGTCCGCTATTACGTAGTCTTGCATGCATGCATTAACTAATCCGCTAACAATTAAAAGCTCACCTCCCTTTATCTCTAGGTAGAAAGTAATTCGTTGCAATCTTTTAGTATTATTCATGTGGGCCATGCTTGAATTTACGTAATGAGAAAAATAAATAAATAAATAAATAAATAAAATATAAAAGCTTCTTAAATTTGTGTATCTATAGATATTGATTATAACTAACTACATATATGAGTGACGATAGCCAACTTTTTCGTGAGGACCACATATAACCGTAAGGTGGAGAGTACTTTTCCTTTATAGTCCACCTATATGGACAAGTCTTGTACCGTATAATTGGCGTTTGTTCCGTTTTGTTGGGACAGATGGAGATATTTTTGTACCGTAGAGTTGGCGTTTGTTCCGTTTTGTTGGGAGAGAGGGAGATATTTTTAGCTTTGTAGAAGCCCAGTGTGTGTATTAGAAAAATAGAGAAGAGCCAACTCTTCACCCCCGTGAGCTGACAGATTCATGACATGTGGACTCTTTACTAGTCAATCTGTGTGAGGGCTCACATGTTATACACCTGGCAGCTCACGGAGGTGAAGGGCTGCTAGCTCTTCTCCATTTTTCTGTATATATATAGCACACACACACACTTTATACACACACTTTATTTGCTCAGGGCTTTGTAAACGGAACATTTGTATAATCCTCC